ATAGCAAACCTGTTTTACAGAGTAATACTTTTGTAATTCAAACCTGCTTAATCTTACAAACCTTTTTTCGGTATAAACAAATTTAAAGAGTAATCCTTTGAGTAATATAACAAACCAGTTTTTAGAGTGTGCTTAATTTACAAACCTGTTTTCGGTGTGTAAATAATCAGAGAGTAATCCTTCAAATAAAATGAAATGGTTGGTATGGCAAAATAATCCTTCGAATAAAATGAAATGCTTGGTTTTGAACTTGGTATGCTAAATAATCAGAGAGTAATCCTTCGAATAAAATGAAATGGTTGGTATGGCAAAATAATCCTTCGAATAAAATAAAATGGTTGGTTTTGAACTTGGTATGCTAAAGTGAAATGGTTGGTATGGCAAAATAATCGTTCTAATAAAATGAAATGGTTGGTATCCTAAAATCAATTCACGGTGTAACAAACCCCGTTTTAGAGTGTGTATCAATGAAATGAATGCTACGCTAAAACGCACGGTGTTAGAACAAATTCAAAGAGTAATCCTTTGAATAATATAACAAACCAGTTTTTAGAGTGTGCTTAAATAAAATGAATGTTATGCTAAAATAAACACACAGTATTAGAACCAATTCAAAGAGAAATCCTTTTAATAATTTTAGACCTTTTCTTAATTAACAAACCTGTTTTCGGTGTATAAAAAATCAGAGAGTAATCCTTCGAATAAAATGAAATGGTTGGTATGCCAAATAAATCTTTCGAATACAATGAAATACTTGGTTTTAAACTTGGTATGTTAAATAATCAGAGAGTAATCCTTCGAATAAAATGAAATGGTTGGTATGCCAAATAAATCTTTCGAATACAATGAAATACTTGGTTTTAAACTTGGTATGTTAAATAATCAGAGAATAATCCTTCGAATAAAATGAAATGCTTGGTATGGCAAAATAATCCTTCGAAAAAAATGAAATGCTTGGTATGGCAAAATAATCCTTCGAATAAAATGAAATGGTTGGTATGCTAAAATAAATTCACGGTGTAACAACCCCGTTTTAGAGTGTGCTTCAATGAAATGAATGCTATGCTGAAATGAACAAATTCAAAGAGTAATCCTTTGAATAATTTAACAACCCCGTTTCACAGAGTAACCCTTTATTAATTTTACAGACCAGTTTTTAGAGTGTGCTTAAATGAAATGATTTATAATATGCTTAAATGAATTCACAGTTTTTGAACAAATTCACAGAGAAACCATTTTATTAATTGTACAGACCTTTGCTTAATCTTACAAACCGTTGAATAATATAACAAAAATGAATTTGCAAGTTTTAACTAGTTTAAAGAGAAATCCTTCGATTAATCTTACAAACCAATTACTTAGATGAAATGATTGGAAGCCAATGCTAAAATTAATTTACTATGTATGAACGAATTCTAAGAGTAAAGCTAATCCTTTCGTTAACCAAAAAACCCTGCTCTTCAAGTGATTTAGAAGAAGTGATTGAAATTTAAATTAACTCGATCTAAAGATTTACTCTAATGACGTCATGAATCTATGACAACACTGAAGCATTCTGACTATTGACCAATAAAAAATATGTTTCACAGATTGCAATAAACAACTGTTTCCATGGACATTAAAATGACGTCAAGGAAACGTGACCAACAATGACGTCCGTTATCACTCGGCAAACCTCGGCAGATTCCGGTATCCTGCATCTAGCTAGATGTAGGGTAATGGAATCTGCTTAGGTTTGCGAGCCAGGTGTAGGGTACTGGAAACCGCTAACAGGAAGTGGCCAACTTGAGATATTATTAATACTATTACAATCGGCACGTTTCATTAAAATCTGTTGGTAATTGTGGTCTGTAGCCGTGCCACATGAAATGTGTGGTAACCTGATATCTCGGAAATTTTGGCTAGTTTGAGATATTATTATTGTTATTATAATCTGTAAGTTTCATTGAAATCGGTTGATAATTATGGTCTGTAGCCGTGCCACATGAAATGTGTGGTAACCTGATATCTCGGAAACCGCTAACCGGAAGTGGCCGAAATTTTGGCTAGTTTGAGATATTATTATTGTTATTATAATCTGTAAGTTTCATTGAAATCGGTTGATAATTTTGGTCTGTAGCCGTGCCACATGAAATGTGTGGTAACCTGATATCTCCGAAACCGCTAACCGGAAGTGGCCGAAATTTTGGCTAGTTTGAGATATTATTAACGTCATTATAATCTTTAAGTTTCATTGAAATCGGTTGATAATTGTGGTCTGTAGCCGTGCCACATGAAATGTGTGGTAACCTGATATCTTGGAAACGGCTAACCGGAAGTGGCCAAAATTTTGGCTAATTTGAGATATTATTAATGTTATTATAATCTGTAAGTTTCATTGAAATCGTTTGATAATTGTGGTCTCTAGCCGTGCCACATGAAATGTGTGGTAACCTGATATCTCGGAAACCGCTAACCGGAAGTGGCCAAAATTTTGGCTAATTTGAGATATTATTAATGTTATTATAATCTGTAAGTTTCATTGAAATCGTTTGATAATTGTGGTCTCTAGCCGTGCCACATGAAATGTGTGGTAACCTGATATCTCGGAAACCGCTAACCGGAAGTGGCCGAAATTTTGGCTAGTTTGAGATATTATAAATGTTATTATAATCTTTAAGTTTTATTGAAATCAGTTGATAATTGTGATCTGTAGCCGTGCCACATGAAATGTGTGGTAACCTGATATCTCGGAAACCGCTAACCGGAAGTGGCCGAAATTTTGGCTAGTTTGAGATATTATTAATGTTATTATAATCTGTAAGTTTAATTGAAATCGGTGGATAATTGTGGTCTGTAGCCGTGCCACATGAAATGTGTGGTAACCTGATATCTCCGAAACCGCTAAACTGAAGTGGCCGAAATTTTGGCTAGTTTGAGATATTATTATTGTTTTTATAATCTGTAAGTTTAATTGAAATTAAATTTTGGCTAAATTGAGATATTATTAATGTTATTATAATCTATAAGTTTCATTGAAATCGGTTGATAATTGTGGTCTGTAGCCGTGCCACATGAATTGTGTGGTAACCTGATATCTCCGAAACCGCTAACCGGAAGTGGCCGAAATTTTGGCTAGTTTGAGATATTATTAATGTTATTATAATCTGCAAGTTTCATTGAAATCGGTTGATAATTGGGGTCTGTAGCCGTGCCACATGAAATGTGTGGTAACCTGATATCTCGGAAACCGCTAACCGGAAGTGGCCGAAATTTTGGCTATTTTGAGATATTATTAATGTTATTATAATCTGTAAGTTTCATTGAAATCGGTTGATAATTGTGGTCTGTAGCCGTGCCACATGAATTGTGTGGTAACCTGATATCTCCGAAACCGCTAACCGGAAGTAGCCGAAATTTTGGCTATGCTGAGATATTATTAATGTTATTATAATCTGTAAGTTTCATTGAAATCGGTTGATAATTGTGGTCTGTAGCCGTGCCACATGAATTGTGTGGTAGCCTGATATCTCCGAAACCGCTAACCGGAAGTGGCCGAAATTTTGGCTAGTTTGAGATATTACTAATGTTATAATAATCTGTAAGTTTCATTGAAATCGGTTGATAATTGTGGTCTGTAGCCGTGCCACATGAAATGTGTGGTAACCTGATATCTCGGAAACCGCTAACCGGAAGTGGCCGAAATTTTGGCTAGTTTGAGATATCATTAATGTTATTATAAGCTGTACGTTTCATTGAAATCGGTTGATAATTGTGGTCTGTAGCCGTGCCACATAAAATGTGTGGTAACCTGATATCTCGGAAACCGCTAACCGGAAGTGGCCGAAATTTTGGCTATTTTGAGATATTATTAATGTTATTATAATCTGTAAGTTTCATTGAAATCGGTTAATAATTGTGGTCTGTAGCCGCAGGGCTATTTTGACATTCTTGCTTACCACATGTGGCAAATAGCCACTGCCACAAATAATACACGATTGATAACGAGGCTCTAACCAATGTACATGAAACAACTAGTCAAAATCATAGTAACAAAACAAAATGGGGGGAACTACATGGCAGTTCAAAAACATATACAATGACATTAAATTAACATAATAACATATTACAAAAATCAATTATTATACATACCAATTGGCATCTATTTCATAATTTGGTTTGATTTATATTAATATGCAAAATATATAAATTAGAATATTGAATAATTATTTTAATTAATTGTGATGATAGAAGGCGCAGTTCTCTTGCTGGACACTTCACAGGCATTGAAAATAAGCAGGATGAAAAAAACCGCCTAGAAAGTCATAAACTTTATTACAAATAAATTTCAACGGAATAACCATTCGCCGATGCATACTTTCACCAGGAATGACCCACGTTTCGCATTTCCTTTACACTACATTTAATAATATCGCAGTCCTCTACGCCATAGACATTGTTTTGACGATGTGGTCGAAACAAACACGTGATTGTTTTACGCTCAGATTATCATAGCAAGACGCACGTGTAAATACTACTCAGGTCGTCTCTCCACTGCGAAATCATTCTACCATGAAATGTAACGTGAGGCTCAGAAAGGGATAAATAATGAAAGAACAGAAAGTATTTGTCACTTTTCCGTTGAAACGACTCGATAATAAATACTATTTTTCACATTTTGCTTCACAATACTCGATAGAAATGTGATGTAAGTAACTTATTAGCACCTTTCCTCGGTGTATCGGTGAATATCAGGACAGTTTTGGTCGGGAGCCGCCTCGGCTCCGCCTCGGATGGGCCCCTCGACCAAAACTGTCCTGATATTCACCGATACACCTCGGAAAGTGTGCTAATAACTACTACATACACGCTACAGAAGTATGGATGGATGAATGGACACAGATCACCAAAAAATTCCTACTTTGGTCACCCACGAAACAAGTCCCAATCTAAAAATAGACTAACTTTCCCTTATTTTTTTTCTCCCTTTTTCAGACGTTTTTTTGGTTTTTTTTAGATGTGGAATTGTTGTCAAGGTTTTGAATTTTGAATATTTAGCCAGTTTTGGTGGGAAAAGAGGATATTTGTGCGGAAGAATAACATGGGTAAAAGGGCTTGAAAGACGTCTCACATTGAACCGGAAGTACAGAATTGACCCCAGTCTACTTTAACTTTTTCTAATTTGAGATTTCCATGAAGAACCTCATACATGCTTCGGAGGAGATGACTGCCAGGTGCTATACTTTATGCCTTGTGAAGGAATTAGCTCAACGAATATTGTGGAAAGAGTTACAGCTTGTGACATGAGCTTGAAATAACATTGAAGTCAATGGGGCAATAATTGGTGATCTGTGGCCTGTCTATAGTGAATGGAACAAATTTTACATTTTTTGCTGTGATCAAAGTTTTGAAGATTTTTACTTGAAATTTTCAGAGCAGGTACAGTTGACATTGTAGTTATTATAATCACCTTTATTTCTTATGCATTAAGTCTAAATTAAAAATTTCAGGCACTTGCATTAAATTTTCGGTTTGTTTACACTTGTCTATTCATGAAAGTCACTAATATTGGATGGAACAGTGTAGGACAATGTTTATTATGTGTTTTATACTGTATTCTACCACTTTAGAAAGCACATGTTTTAAAATGGCAGCACCATTTGCATTTTATGCTAATAAAATCAACATATTTTCTGAAATGTCTGTCAACGGCCAATGTAAAATTTGGCAGGGGTCGAGGACCTCAAACAACAAATATGGCATTATTCGTGTGAAGTGTCCAGACGGTATATGGCGCACTAGAAAAGCACATAGGCTATCATGTATGGTCTACACCGCATTAGATTTCACTTTACCAGTTGACTTGGATTGCTCACATCTGTGTCATAACAGCCTGTGTGTCAATCCAAGTCACCTGAGTTTAGAACCTCATCATATTAATAATAATAGACAAAGATGTAAAGCGTTTGGATTTTGCACAGGGCATGGCCAATACGGCATGTGTTTCTTGCATTTGATGCTTTTGTAGGTGGGTATTGACAACTTTTATGGCATGTTTTGCTCTTGTTTTGTTTGTTTTTTTTTTGGGGGGGGGGGGGGAAGGAATGTTCGCTGGAAATACTTTAATACATGTATTTCCATTACCGGTTGAAACCACGGGGAGGTCTTCCTTCTTATTCAACCATATGAGTTTTTTTTTATTTTTTTTAGTTATTTTTTCTGTTTCTAATGTCACTATTCTATGGCTATGTTATTCATTTCTCTATTCAGACGTCAAAATCTGAGTTCACAGTTCAAGACTGCGTGTATGAATGATCCTGCAGGGCTTCCTCTTGTGTTTCCGTCATTATGCCATCTGGTAAGTTTATGTCCAATTGCCCTTTCTTATAGCCAGAAACAGCAGAATGTGTCTGCTTGTATTTAGCAAAGTCATACAGTTTTCTTCCCCTAGACCACAGTGCACGCCTTTTGACTTCCGGTCTGTGTTTGTAGTTTTTCTGGTAAATCCGTTCATTCTCCATTTGATTTAAGGACTTTTTTGTTTTTGGGGAAAGGGAAGCACCAACATTTCTGGCCTTTTTTTCCAATGATTCCCTAATGCCAATATTGTTGCGTAAAACTGTTGATGATAGCCTGCCCATAGCATTTCTTCCAAAATTTACATTTTTGGGTAGGGATACACTTAGAGACCGATTCAGCGCCTCACATTTTTGTGTATTTGTTTGATATCTGGTTTTTGAAATGGCTTCCTGGCTAAGTCTAATTTTCAGGATCTCATGTAATATTAATTTGTCATTTTCATTCATTTGCAGAACAGTTATATTGTTAGAAGCCAGGAATATGGAACGTAGCCACCACGAATTGTGAAAACCACCCCCACAGACGACTGAACAGTTACGGCATTTCGAACAGTCACCATCGTAGCACTTGACAGTTGCCTCTAGGATTTTAGGTAGGCGTTTCTTGATTTCTTGCAGGTTGCCACAGTTGTTGTGAAACAATTCTTTTACAACGAGACTACATCTGGCCTTGACATCCTGACTGAAGATTTTCTTAATCCGCAATTTTTCTAGTCTTGTTTTTCCCAGAAACATGTCATCGCTAAACTTTGCTCTGCTGCACTGTCTAAACTGGGAGGCAGCCAGGTGTGTGGGATCTGCTAGCCTCTCCACTTTCCACATCGGATGTAAAGTTTTTAAACTCTCCTCTATTCCCTCTGCAGATCTTCCATCTCCGTCTGTTGTCACACATTTGACAAGGACGTCCTGTAGAGCAAACTCCTCGCCTAAATTTCTACCCATGTGTAGCTCGGAAAATGGAGCCTCAGCTGATAAGTTGGCCGTGCATCCTTCGTGGCCCCCTGGACAATCTACAGAAAGCCCCTTCCCCTTCAACCATGCTCCAGTCCAACAGAGTTTGTTTTGCATAACTGCCCCTAAAATGTACTGATTTTTTGTGCTTGTTTCACATGCAAGAGCTATTGCCTGTGAAGCCCCCTGGCCTGGCTTTTTGCTATGCCCAATTGTGATACAGTTGTATCTGCCATCAACAGCCACGTTTATTATATTTGGTTCTCTGGCCCCCCCTTTTGCATTGATGGCTTTAACCTCATCAACTTTTTCCTTCATGCACCGGGCATTTAACTCAACGGTTTTTTCACTGACGGTCTTGGATAATTTCTGCATACTGGTCCGAGATGGTGGCGGAATGTCTAAACCAGCCAACATAAGCCTGGCCTTGGTGTTTCCAATGGGCATATCCAACAAACCAGACTGTAGTGTTAAGTTAATAGCAGCAGCTTTCCGTCCCTGTCTGCCTGTATCTACCTCTACGTATAATTTGTAAACAGGAGAACTGAATCCGCATTTGGTGCATCGAATCGAATACTTCCAGCCTGCTCCCCATTTCTCCTCGGTGGCTATTTCAAAATTTGGCATTAAGCAAGCTTCTTTCTCCAATTGGAAGTGAAGTTTGATCACTGAATTCCACATGTCAACCATTTTTTCAATGTTGATGATTCTGTTTCCCTCAATAGCATCCATGTTCTTACTGTCATCATCTTGTGTTTTTTTAGGCTTGGACCTCAATTCTCTCCTGCTGCCAGAGCCCATGTCATCATAAAAAGGAAGAAGAATATCTGTCTCAGAAGTATTTCCAGGGTCAGCTGTGGATGTAGATGGAATGTCATAATCGGTTTGTGTACCTGTTGTTGACTCTAGCAACTTTTTCGGGTGTTTTACATGGCCAGGCTGGAATAAGGCATGTGTTCGTTTCCTCAACCCTCTCATTTTCTTCGAATAGACCTAAATAAATTTTTTGCTTGCTTGTGTGCTGCTATATTAGCCAGGGAAGTTGTAAATATCATTGTCAGTCTGTAGCAGTTGTAAGGTGTGGCTTGGAAGACAGGATTATGGTTGGTCAAGCATCTATCGGATTCCATTCCAAGGGGGGTGGGATTATAAACATGTTGTCTTGTTATGTAATTAGATTATTTTAAACTAATTGGCCTGTGTTGTTGCAGTCAACTGGAAGATGTATCAGAAATAATTACCCTTGTTGGTTTCAATAATTTAAAAATCTCAAAATTTCGACTTTTGTCAAGATGATATAGACCAAAAAGTGTCCCGATTTTTCGTAAAAAAATTTAAAAAAATTCTGAATGGACAATACACATTTTTTATATTTTTCAAGCTCCTTTTGAATTCAATTATTAAAATCATTTTACAAAATGTAATTATTTTGATAAACAGGCAAGTTATAAAGGAATGAAAATTGTAGATTTGCAAATTTACCGACCTCAAAGAGCATAAATAGTGGAAATATGTACACATTTGCAAGTAACCCATTATCTGTCTAAAAATGCATATATTTCCATGTCTTTTGGACATGGTGTAGGTGATATGGTCCAGGTTGGGGAGCATAAGTTGTTTTGTAAATATAACAAACTTCATCCCTATATAGGACACAGATCACCAAAAAATTCCTACTTTGGTCACCCACGAAACAAGTCCCAATCTAAAAATAGACTAACTTTCCCTTATTTTTTTTCTCCCTTTTTCAGACGTTTTTTTGTTTTTTTTTAGATGTGGAATTGTTGTCAAGGTTTTGAATTTTGAATATTTAGCCAGTTTTGGTGGGAAAAGAGGATATTTGTGCGGAAGAATAACATGGGTAAAAGGGCTTGAAAGACGTCTCACATTGAACCGGAAGTACAGAATTGACCCCAGTCTACTTTAACTTTTCCTAATTTGAGATTTCCATGAAGAACCTCATACATGCTTCGGAGGAGATGACTGCCAGGTGCTATACTTTATGCCTTGTGAAGGAATTAGCTCAACGAATATTGTGGAAAGAGTTACAGCTTGTGACATGAGCTTGAAATAACATTGAAGTCAATGGGGCAATAATTGGTGATCTGTGGCCGAATGAATGAATGAATGAATAAATGAAATGTCTTTTATAACGTTCTTCTTTTCTGCTATACGTACAGAAAATCTCGTCCGGTGACCCTATGTGTACTTTAATTTTGTTAAGAGTTCCTGTTTTAAAGAGAGAGAGAGAGAGAGAGAGAGAGCAAGGTTAACGTCCACTCGATACAAACTAGGTCATTTCGGGACTAACATATGGTCCAATTTTATTTTAATAATTCGCTTGCGTCGCATATGGGTCATTAGCAGTGGTGGAAAACGGACGTTCTGGAGAAAATTCAACGACGTTAGACAGGCGACCCCACTCTTTGTCATGTACAAACGGGGATCGAAACCACGCCACTTGACTGAATGATAGACCTGATCCAACGCGCACGCGTTAACCATTCAGCGTCCCCACCCCTCGCCTATACGTCATGAAGTGTGCTATGAGGGAAGTGCGTATTAAACAAAAGGTACGTAACATACAATACAGTATATGGGGGAATCACGTGGCTAAGTGGGTAAGACGCTGGCTCGCTAGCCTGGAGGTCGGGTGTTCGATCCCTACATTGGCTAAGAAAGTTCATTCAGATTTTCCAGCGTGGTTTCCCCTTGTCAGTGATGCAGGATGGAGGGCCTGACAAGGACAGCTGTCTAGTCGTTCGGATGGGACGAAAAACCGAGGCCCCGTGTACACATTGACGTGCACGTAAAAGATCCCCTGGCAGTTGGAATTCGATGTAAGAGTAGGCCGTAGCGCCGCTGCCCGGGCAAAATTTCCTTCATAGCACACTGTATGGCGTATGTCCGTCTTCATTAGCCCAGGTTAGAAGCAGAACAGTAGGACGTTAAACCCCATTTCATTTCATTTACAATACAGTATGAATGAATGGAACGTTGTACTTTTCTGCACCAACTGGGCTAATGAAGCCAGACACGCGCCACCCAGCGTGCTATGAGAGAAATGTAGCACCAGATAACGTATTACAATACATATTGAACACGGATAAATCGGACTTACAGTGTCGGTTCCTCACAAATTTCTCCTTCAAATTATGGGCCATGGCTGTTGGAATTCGAAATAACAGCAAGCCGTCTTACTGTTCTTCTCCGACAGGGTTAATGAAGACGGGTATACGCCATACAGTGTGGTATGGGGGGAAATTTTGTCCGGGCAGCCAACCAATGTATACAGGGGACCTCGGTTTTTTGTCCCATCCGAACGACTAGACAGCTGTCCTTGTTAGGTCCTCCGTCCTGCACCACTGACAAGGGGAAACCACGTCGGGAAATCCCGATAAACTTTCTTAGCCAATGCAAGGATCGAACACGCGAACACCAGGCTGGTGAACCAACGTCTTACCCACTTAGCCACCATGGCTCCCATATTACGCTGACAACCCACGAGATCAATATATAGATAATAATTATTGATATGTTGTAGACGTTTATTGTTGTTTTCACATTTAAATATCGAATAAAACCCCCCAGCTAGAATTAAGTATACAAGCGTTTCATCAATATTGTTGTTTTCACATTTAAATATCGAATAAAACCAGCTAGAATTAAGTATACAAGTGTTTTATCAATATTGTCTATTTATAAACTAAACAAAACAAACTTCAAACTATAGATTCTACCCATAGCCCAGGTAAAATTAAGATAGGAAAACGCTGGTCGTTCTTGTTATAATAGTTCCAAAATAGATAATTCAAAATTAATAAATTGAAAATTCCAGTCAAATTACTTTATTCTAGAGAGTTGATTATGGGCTTGTCAAGATAAAGAGCTGTGAGAGAGAGAGAGAGAGAGAGAGGGGGTTGGGTTGGGTGGTAGACGACCGAATGGTTAGCACGCGCGCCCTGTATCATAAGGTCTGTCATTGAGTCAACTGACGGGTTTGCGATTCCCCGGTTGTGCGTGACAATGAGTAGGGTCGCCTGTCCAACATCGTCAGATTTCTCCGGGTCCTCCGGGTTCCCCCTACTGCTAAAGACCCCTAAGCGCAAGAGAGTTATGGAAATAAAATTAAACCATGTCCAGAGTAGACGTTACACCTCTCTCTCTCTCTCTCTCTCGCTCGCCGCTAACCATTCGGCCCCCTGTATTAGGCCAATGTAGCTCTTTCATACCGAAAGAAAAATATAAAACCCGCAAAAATATGCAGAGGCTTAACGTCAACCAGCGACCATTCTTGTCACGTACTAGCGGGGAATCCAAACCACGCAACTTAACTCAATGACCGACCATATGATCTAAAGTGGAAGCGTTAGACCACTCGGCAAAACAAAACCCCTTATTTACTTTACGAGGTAGCAATCATAATTTTCTGGCAGTGGTGCGGGACGGAGGGCCTGACAAGGACAGCTGTCTAGGTATTCGGATGAGACGAAAAACCGAGGTCCCGTGTATATATTGGAATGCACGTAAAAGATCCCCTGGCAGTTGGAATTCGATACCACACCAGTTGACTCACTGACAGACCTTATGATACAGCGCGCATGTGCTAATCATTCAGCCTTCCAACCCCACCAGTATCTGGACGGTTAATAAGTCAACGCGAACCAGGGATATCCCTAATACCGACGATAATATTCAACATAGGATCTTTCCAAAACACTTTAATCAATAAAATTCAGCAATATTCAAATCGGCGAGTTTCAGCAATATTTAGATCAGAGACGTTCAGAAATATTTTAATCAGTGACGTTCAGCAATATTCAAATCAGAGACGTTCAGAGACGTTCAGCAATATTTAAATCAGAGACGTTCAGCAATATTTAAATTAGAGAAGTTCAGCAATATTTAAGGCAATCAGTTTCAGCAATACTTAGATCAGAAAATGTCAGCAATATTTAAATCAATACGAATCAGTAGTATTTAGATCAGAGCGATTTAGCAATATTTAAATCAAAGAATTTCAGCAATATGTGAATAATGGAGTTTTGGGAGAGAACGTGCGAGAGAGAGAGAGGGAGAGAGAGAGAGAGAGAGGGGGGGGGGACTTTCATCACAATAAACTATATATATAGGTAATTTCAGGCCAAGTATGGTATAACAATTCCCATGCGCGTAGCATTTAAAAGTGGGAGGGAACCGATGAAACAGAACAACCTATAGATTAGTCAGGCGACACAATTCCCTGTCAAATCAAAGCCCGGGGTGTAAACCACGACTCTTGACTCTATATCAAACCTTAAGCTTCAACCGCCCACGCCAACTCACCTGGAGCGTAACCAAGGTGCCTGTTTAGTTTGATTGATATGATTCAAGTAAGGTTTAAACTTGACATTATTTTAGGATAAATGGGTGTGCCATTGTGTTGAACTAATATTACAGGTGTATGGGGGTCTGTTCTACTTGTGGGGCTCCAGGCGGCAGATGGCTCTTCAATATCTGTCGGTATTAAAATCTGATATTACAAAAAGTTTTGCACTTACTGATATAAACTCTCCTGAATTTTCGGGACTAACATATGGTTAAATTTTATTTCAATAATTCGCTTGCGCGTAGGGGTCTTTAGCAGTGGGAGGAAACCGGAGAACCCAGAGAAAACCCACGAGGTTGGACAGGCGACCCTACTCCTTGTCACGTACAACCGGGGATTCGAAACCACGCCAGTTAACTCAATGACAGGTCTTATGATATCTCACTCACTAAAGATATAGAATAATGAAATGAAATGGGGTTTAACGTCCTACTGTTCTCCTCCGAACTGGGCTAATGAAGACGTACATACGCCATACAGTGGTGTGCTATGAGGAAATTTTGCGCGGACAGCGTCACTAGGGCCTACTCTTATATCGAATTCCAACTGCCAAAGGATCTTTACGTGCATACCGATGTGTACACGGTACCTCGGGTTTTCGTCCCATCCGAATAACCACCCAAAAATACACAGTAAAGAACAGATCTGTAGGAGAAAACAAGCAAATAAATTTGACCGAAACGTCCTCTTTCTAAAAAATAAAGTGGCGGAAAAGTCCTAGGACGAAATATTCACTGACCGAAACATCCTGATCATTCGTCGTCGATAATACTTTACTTATGACTAAGTAGTTTCAGTTCAGTAAATGTCGGCTTCGTTTCATTTCATTTCACAAAGTTAACCCAGAAATTGACTAAACCTGATAACAATGATATAGACATCACGCAGTCGTGTGCCCTGGTTGAAAAGAGTGGGGTGGGCGAGAGAAATGGGGTTTAACGCACACTTAACACAAACCAGGTCATTTCGAGACTAACACATGGTTCAATTGTATTTCAATAATTCGCTTGCGCGTAGGGGTGTTTAGCAGTGGGAGGAAACCGGAGGACCCGGAGAAAACCCACGCCAGTTGACTCATTGTCAGACTTTATGATACAGCGTGCACACGCTAACCATTCGGTCATCCCCCCCTCCCCCCGCTACATTCATTGAAATGACGTCAAGCAAACGTGCGAATCATTGCTGCCGTTTTGCTTTCACTTCACTTTACTTTAGATGTTTGCACGTGTTATTGTCTCAGAGCTTCCGATTCTCGGGTAATGCCCTAGACTTCACGCTAAAATTCACGTCCCCCCCCTTCCGACCCCTCTACCCAAATTCTTGAACACGCCCTTTTAAGCACTTTTATTTTTTGACCTGGTTGACTGTGATGCTGCCATGTTGATTAAATATCGACAGGAAAGTCGGAGATAGCATCTACTGTAAGCCATTGGAACAAATTTGTTATTATTCCCTAGCAACAGATGATTTATCCAGTTTATTATTCCCTAGCAACCGATAATCTATCCAGTGCAGCGTGTTCTTTGAAGACAATGGTTGGTATTATTGCAACAGTTCATGGCCGAGTAAACGTCAAATGCCCTTTTCATAAAATATCTCATTGTTGTACATATAAACATTGTTAACTATTATTAAATCAATCAAATAGCAGGCCTAGTAAGGTCAAGGTCGCTAAGGTGTAAATACGGTTAGGGCACGTGATTGTTGGCGAGATTGTAGGTTAGGGTTAGCGTAAGCA